TTAAGGGTTTGGGGGTTTAAGTTCCCAGCCATTAGATTTTAATTAATCAACGGCTGAAATTAGAAGTACAAAAGCGGGGTCGTTTGGTTTTACAGGGAAAATTGGACTGGTTTAGGGGTTTGGGCTAGGGTGGTATTGGTATGGTATTGGGCCCATTGAAGCTGGCCCAGTCCGATTTTAATTCAAAAACAAGCCTATTTTCCTTTCTTATTTTTTCTCCCTTCTTCTTTGATTTTAAAATCTAATAAAATCCTAAATCAATCTAATTTGCAAAAATTAAAATTATTTATCTATTTATATCATTAAAACAACTAATTAACTTAAAACTAAAGAAAAATACTAGTTTTTTAAAGACTAAAGCTAAATATGTAAAAATGATCATTTTTTGTAATTTTTGCTTAATAATGCAATTAACTCAATGTAATTAATTTTTAAATGCAAATAAACCTAAAATGTTATGCAATGAATATTTTAGACATTTTTGGTATTTTTCTATAATTTTAAAATATTAAACATGCAACTAAAATGCAAACAACAATTAGCAAGAAATTCCTAAAAATTGTACAAAAATTAAAATAATTAAAAACAAATCTATTTTTTGTGAATTTGTGAGGGTATTTTTCATCGAGCAAAAATCACGTGCTCATAGAGTCGAACAATATTTTCACTACAATAATTGAGGTAACAACGTGACAATGGCATTTCTGAAATTCACTTTATAAATCGCCAATATAGATCAACATAAATCTCAAGTCTTATTCCAGAATAATACATTTCTAATTCTAACAATGAAATCACGTAAATCAACTAAAGGCCCGCTTAGCCATTTTTTTTCTGACTCGTTTTTTCGGAATAAGTGTTTGGTCATGAAAATTGTAAATTTCACTTAAAGTTGAAATTCGAAATTTTTCAGAATTTAAAAACTTCAAAAAACTATTTTTTTAAAATTTTACTTCAAATCATTTAAAAAGATTCAAAAACAACTCCAAATTGTATTCATGACCAAACATAACTCTAATTTTCAAATACCATTTTTACTGAAAAACTTTTTTTCAGAATTTCACTGATTCTAACAACTGATTGCAGAGTTGATCATTCGGACCTTTCAATTCATAGATGTAGATCTCGGACCTATGTCCAACCACCCGGTAAATGTTACTAGACTGTATTTGTAAAATAATTCTGGAAATATAAATGAGTATAAACAGAAATGAACATAAACAGAAATGACATAAAACCAATTCGAGCCCACTGAATTCACAGTGTTTCCTTAAGGAATTTAATCCCCTCCTAGTACCCAAGGTTATGGATTATTTCCTCCCAGGATAGAACGAATTACACACTGGTGTAGTGGTACTTCAAACCCCAGTGTTTCAGCGAACACAAAGTTCGGTAGCAAATCACACTTACTTTTTGCTTTGTTTGATGCTAAAAGTATGCAGAAGAAGGAGAAGAAACTCAGAAAATCGTAGTAAAATTCTGAGCAGAACAGTGTTGTATTTATAGCCAAAGTTAGGCTGAAATCTGAAGAGGTGCAACTCTTCAGAATGGCTGTTTATGCAAAACGCCCACAGCATAAATGCCATTACATAAATGGCCATTTACTCAATAATAAAGAGGGAAAATAAAGAGGGAAAATTGAAGAGGGTAGTTACTTTTCTGTTACCAAAACAGAAAAACGGATTGAATTTAATATTAATATTTAATATTAATATTTTGTTATTAAAATAAATATTTAATAACATTTCTGTTAATATTTTACTATTAACAAATAAATTTGGTCCAAAAAGTTAATCAATCAATCGATCATTTGACCAAATCCGAATCCGAATCCGAATCCGAATCCGAATCCGAATCCGAATCCGAATCCGAAGCCGTAGCCGAAGCCGAAGCCGAGCCGAGCGAGCGACGACGACGACGGCGCGAGGCTTGCCTTCTTCTCAACTCTTTAAGAGCTAGAAAAAGAGCAATTGCTTATATACCCATAAAAAACCTCTTCCTCTTCCAATATGGGACAATGCCTATTTGCCAAGGGAGGGGGAACTTAAAATTTCACTCAAAAATTTCATTTCCCTCCATTTCCCATTCACCCTCTTTTAAGTATTTAATATATTAATTAAATACCTTAAAAACCCAACAGGTACAGTTCAATATAGAAATAACATTACAGAAATGTAGGCATGCTTTCAAGTTCAATAGTTAAACTCAATGCAAGTAAGATAGTTCAAATCTGAATGATATGAGGAATATAACTTCCCTATATCTAAATGCCCATGCACATGTTGTATCTGATGCACCACGCTGAAAGCCTCGTATACTCATGCTCTCAGAATACTCAATCACTCAGCACTGTATATGGCCAATCAGCCCAGGGAAGATCCATCCCAGATATATGTACATCAACTGGCAGTCAGTCACTCAGTACTGGATAGGGCCAATCCAGCCCAGGGGAAGATCCATCCCCAGGTATATGATTCGGGCAAGATCCATGCCCAGGAAGATCCATCCCTCAATATAAATTAACTGCGCTCACTGGGGGTGTGTACAGACTCCGGAGGGGCTCCTTCAGCCCAAGCACTTTAGTAAGTCAGATCCAGGTATAAATCAATAAAACATGCTGCGGCGTGCAGCCCGATCCCATAAATGTCACTCACAATCAGGCCCTCGGCCTCACTCAGTCATTAATCTCCAGTCTCTCTTTCTCGGGCTCATAATGTCGTGAAACTAGCCCAAAAATGATGATATGATTTAACAATAAAAAGCAACATAGACTGAAATATGATATGCAATGAATAAATATGACTGAGTACGAAGTTGCAATATAATCAATAAGTCAACAGCAGGAAACGACCACTATGGGTCCCAACAGTACTAGCATATAGCCTAAATTCTAGCATGATTGGCAGCTCAATTACTTTATCACATGATGAAAACACATATATCAACAAGATAAATCCACTATACAGTTCCATGGAATCGACCAGGTCATAGTTCCCACGGTGCATACTCACACACCCGTCACTCGGCATGTGTGCCACCTCAACACTAATCTTATAACACATAATTCGGGGTTTCGAACCCTCAAAGCCAAGTTTAGAAATGTTATTTACCTCAATCCGAGAAAATCTCTACTCCAACACATCTTTTCCTTGTGAAACGGCCTCCGAATGCCTCGAATCTGGCCACAAATAATGCGATACAATTAACACGGGCTAAAGGAATCAATTCCATTAGGAAATACTAAGTTATTAATCAAAAGTGGACTTAAAAGCCGGCCCCTGGACCACAACTCGAATTCCGAAAAAAGTCACAAAACCCGAAGCCCATTCAATCACGAGTCCAACCATACCAAATTTATCAAAATCGGATACCAAATCGCCACCCAATCCCCAAATCAAACTCTCCAAATCCCTAGCCTCAAATTCCCAAATTTCACCTCAAAACCACACAATCTAGATGGGAAAATCAATGGGGAATCAAGATTATTGAATAAAAATGAGCATAAGTGACTTACTTCAAGAAACCCCTCGAACTTATCCTGCTCAAGCCATAACTAATCCACAATGAAAGTACAAGAGGAGGGGGGGAGGGTGAATTATAGCCTTTTTAAATTTCTAGTCGACTAATCTTCAGACCTAGTCGACTTATGCGGAGACAGCCTGCACAGAACTATTACTCCTTTCGATTTAAACAAGTGTTAATCACAATAAACAGTAAAGGAACTGAATATAATATGAGAGCGATAAAGTAAATGATACCAGGAATTTTTATACTGGTTCAGAACCAATGTGGTATCCTAATCCAATCCTCTTGGGTTGTAAGAGTGTTGGCTTTTAGAGCTCTTTGTAAATTGAATTGAGTACATCCTTTGTGGTTTTCAGCGATAACCACCAACGTTGACAGGGTTGGTTTTCACTCGCTCACCAACAACGAACAAGATTTGGTTTTCACTCGCTCACCAACAACGACCCTTTGGTTATCACTCGCTCACCAAAGAAACGAACAATGAGACAACCTCTTGGACACACTGCCTCTTCAATATTTTTTTGTCTCTTTTCTCTCTTTTGTGTACACAGTAAATCTAAAAGTGAATTATAATACTTGTTAAGAGTAGAATAAAGAACTTGTAGTTAGGTAGAGAATTGTATAGAAGGTTGCGTACTTTTTCTCTTCTATGAACTCTTATATATATAGCCTTTTCAACTTGTTCTGGCTATTGCATAGCCCAAGTGAATTTTCCGTCCAAAGCCTTTTCCTGACCGTGCTTTATGAAACTTTCCATCTCGAAAATATTTGCTTTCACAATTAGCCTTGAAAGTTGTCCAGATGGCTTCTTGATTAGCTTTACTAAGTAATCTTGACCATTCCTTGATTCTCTTGGACTTTGAGAATTATTTCCTTCCATATTTTGATACTCCAACGAACTCTTCATTAGCGCATGAACTTGGCCATACATTGTAGCCTTCTTTTGAACTTGGATAGTGTATGAGTCTTCCTTAATAGTTGTGGCTTTCCAAGTATAGTCCAGTAAGGATCTTTCTTCACTCCTTAATCTGTGACATATGAGATTAGAATCTCTTTATCTCCTTTGATTCTTAATTTGCGGTTCTTTCCGAAAGTTGAACACCGTTACCATCCTTGGCTTGTAGTCTCGTAATGAAGCTTTCCTTTTGAGAAGATTGGTACTACTTCTTCCATAGTATCTTCTATGTACTTAGATCAGGTTATATTCATATCCTTGATTTAATCAACCTTCCAAACCATAGATCGTAGTATAGCCATACAGATATTCTCTTTCCATAACTAAGGAGGGAATGTAGTAAGAATATTTTTCCATAAATAATAGTAGCATCTTTGAACTCCTATTACATTGAAAATATTCCTTTCTTGATCTTGGAAAATAATCTTTCATAATATAGATTGTACTACATTCATAAAATATTTTTTTTCCATAGAAAATATATTCTTCCTTGG